ACAAGGAAAGGGTACACAATATTTACAGTTAGTTTTGGTATATTCTTGGGAAGACTGTTCCTGCATAATGGGTTGACTAAATCGCAGTCGGGCAGAGTCTCTCGATTCGATGTCTTCTTCAACCCCCGTCTTCCGGTACCAACCCATATTTATATGGTCGGTACTCCACTTATGTAAATTAGGTGTATCGTACACAACACTAACAAAGTTTTTTTTTTTTTTAATACTCTGCTTAGCTTTTGAAATGCATCTTTGGCTATCTGAATGCACCTTTGGATTTCGGTGTCACACTTTCCGTCCTTTGTTAGATCACTTCCCAGATATTTTAATTTTTGTACTTGTTTGATTTTGGTATCTCTAATTTGTAATTTGCATTTTGGGCTCATCCCTTTGCTCACAACTATGCATTCTATCTTCTTGTAGTTGATGTTTAATCCTTTCTTCTCACTTTCCTTCACTACCTCTTGTAGGAATTTTTGTAATTTTCTTTATCATCTGTATATCAATATTAAGACTATTTCCACCAATATTAAATCCTGATAATCTAGTTCTCTTGGGGTCATTTGAAATATTAATAGCATAAAAAAAGTTTGTTTACAACAAAATACAATGCCTTTTGTTTTAATTCTAGTATACCAAGCCCAAATTTGGGTCTTGTAAGTAAATGACATTTTCCTAAAACACTTTTCAAGTCACTTAAATAGTTTAATATTTTAGTTATTCTTATCTTTTTTTAACTAAACTGGTTTCCATCTGTTGTCTGGCTGTTGTCACTCAGGAATAAAAATCAATGTTTGGAATGATGGGTTAGGTTTTCTGAAGAAGGAGGGGGAGATGATGCTGGGACAATATATAATTTTTAATTTAGACTATTATATTTATTTTAAAAGAAATTTAAAATAAAAATTTACTTCTCACCAATGAAACCAGCATGAGAGTTAAAGGACATAAATGTAGATATTTGTATTATTTAACTCTAAATGTGAAAAAACATTGTCCGCTGACGTGAGATGGAACAAATACATTGAATCAATAGCTTCATCTGCCTCAAGGAAAGTTGGTTCTCTGTATCGTGCCAAATCTATAATTCATCCATTAACCCTTGCATGGAATACTGCTGTCATATATGGTCTGGTGCCCCCACTGTTGGCCTTAAGGTCCTCTACAAAATCCAGAGATGGATATTCAATGTGATTGATCCTGATCTGGCATGTCATCTGCAGTCACTCTCTCACAGTCGTGCCGTTGCCTCCCTGTCTTTTGTACAAATACTTTCACAGTAACTGTTCTGACGAGCTACTTTCACTAGTTCCTAGACTGCATGAATTTAAGTGTGCTACTAGGCTGGCATCACCGTCCCACCCTTTCACTGTTGAAAATTTTTAAAAAAATTTGATTTTGGAAAAATTAAAGTTGTTTTCTGGGACAATGATGAAAAAAAATTAGTCTGGAGTCCTGGTTGTTACTACTGAAAATTGTGAAATATTTTGGGTTTTAAAAATGAAACTGAAGACAGAGTTCCATTTTTAAAACAAGGTTATTTATTAGAGAAGATTAAAATAATCTATTTAAACCAACAAGATGAGAAATCCTATAATTTTAAACAGATTTTTAAATAATAATAAAAATTGCTAAATACTTTGATCCTCAGTTTCAGTTTTGTTCTAAAATGAATACAATTTTGTAAATGTTCCAAGATAAAATATCAATATAGAGGATTGTTGGCACAGAACAAAGAAAATATGTCATTTACAGATTATCAATTATTACCAGCAAATCTAATTGTTATCAACTGTTTAGAGATAATAATGACAAGGAGGCATGGTAGAATAATGGATTGTGACTGAGATTGAAGAATTGGAATGCCAAGATCAAATTCTAGTTGAGTTAATTACATTCACTGATGTTCTAATACTCTTGGGAAAGGTATGAATCTTAACTCTTTCCCCTCTCAGTTATGGGTAAATAGTAGGACAGACTGGGTTATAGCTTTGAGTAGCAACTGGGTGAGAAAACTCTGAATTCAAAACTGTATGTAGTCCTGGTGAAGCACATACTATGCAGCTAAGAAAAGGATTGTTAACAATGACTCAAAGATCCCAGCTGTGATTAACTTCCTTTTTTAGAGATGATACAAAAAATAAATGGATTGAGATTTGCTTTATAATGATAATTTAAATGCTGTGAAAATTTTGACAAGATTTAACTACAAAATTCATGACTAAAAGAAAAACTCAAAATAAGAACTTAAAAGTAAATCCTGTCAAAATCTTCATATTTCTAGTGTTTATTACCTTAAATTGGATTATAACATACATTTTTTTTATATTCAAGAATAAGTTCAGTTATATTACTTACATGAAAGTATTCTTATCCTAATAGAATTTTTACAAATTTATTACATATGTGATAAAACATTTTTCTTATATTACTGTAGTATAATTGTTAATAATTTTCTTTGTCTTTAGTCAATCTTCTATTAAATTCAAAAAAGTATATTTGCTTTAAATTGTAACAATTTATAACAATAATTAATACTAATAACTTATCTAAATAATATGTAATATGATACGCATAATAATTTTAGATTTTGTAGGTTGCACTTTTGTGAATATAAAATTTACTGATAAATGAAACAACTTTGCATTTGTTTAAAATAGGTTTTTCTACAATGAAAATATTTAGTAGGAAAGTTTAAAAGTACCAGGGAATTTACTTGAAACCTATTGACTATCATTTGTTTTTTGGGGATTTTTTTTTAGTCAAATTCTTTAAATTAGTTCACAATATATTGTAGTTTTTTGTTAATTTTTTTTTTAAATTTTTATTGCGGTATATTAATGTAAAAGAATATAAGTGACACTGAAACTGGTACAGAGAAGGCTTTTTAAAAGGATGAGTAAACTAGTACCAAGGCAATTCTATCAGGATCAAAATAATTTTGTTTCAGTAGCATTTAATTAAATTATTCACACCAAGGATGTATGAATGGTGTAATGGATAGTGGCTTGGAACAAGAATTCAGAAAGCTGAGTTCAAATTCCAGTTGACCTTCATTACATTCACTTTCATACAAATACTCCTGGCAAGGTATGAATCCATCCCTTCTCACTCTTGCTATGAATTAAGCAGTAGAACAAACTGGGCTCTTCAGCTTTGTTTGACATCCAGTCTAGGAGAAGGACAACTCTGAATTCAAAACTGTATGTTGCCCTGGCAAAGTAGATACTATGCAGCTAAGGAAAAGTTCATGGAGTTTACAATGACTATGATCCCAACTGTGGTCATTCTCTTCTTCTATTCACACCAAAGTGTAAATAAGCAAAAGAAATAATTTCTTCCATACTTTGTGATATGTCCTGGAAAGGGATATATTTGTCTGAAGTAGCAAAGTGGTTTTGGACTACAGTAACTGAGTAGGACAATCTAGCATGTAACTGTAATGGACTGGTCCTCATTGTAGGCAATAGGCGAAGACTATAGGCGTAGCCAATAGACGTCCCCCTGTACATCAGTCTGTATTTATAGCTGACACCAGCCAATCAGATTACTGAGGGGGAACCCAGGTGTATGCATATTCATTACATCATTTTGATATTATCTATTTACATAAGATTTGAGCACTTTTAATTGAAAAATCATGAGAGTATGGATGTACTCAAGTGATAAAATTGTACAAGAAGAATATTATAGTGAGTGCCAAATTAAGTAAATTTTCTTTTCTTAATTTTGATACACTGCTAGTGAGAAAAAAAAAACTCAAAGAGCTCAAAATATCTATTCCAGCAAAACAAACAAGTGAAAGGAACCAATGATCAATTCTCTCAACACATAATTACAAATAAGACTGAAGACTCCTTAATGCAATATTCTAAGAATTAGTAGCACCTGAAATTGTAGCTGATACTTGGAAACTGAAACATATGGTTTGAAAAAAAATATTTGGATGAATGCTTTCAGACACTGACAGCGCTAGAGTTGCTGACACCCCAGGCAAGCTTTTAACACCCTTACAAGTATAATTTTTTTTTAATTTTCACAATGTATAATATAGAATGGGTTTTATTATAATATACAACTTAATAAAAGTTAAAGAAAACATTCATTATCCTACCTAAAACATTTTTCTTGCCTTTAGATCTGCAAATCTTTTCATGCCACTTACTACACCTATCTTCTTCACAAGATCATTTTCTGTTGACAAAATAGTTTAAGAATTTAATTTATCTTAAGTCATGGACAACTGCAAGTATGTTTTTATAAGCTTTAGTTTTGAAAGATCCAAAACACATGCCCTCATTCTTGACAGCGCTCTTAGGTGACTGCCCGAGTTGCCAGTACCTTGAGCCAGCTCTGCTTCCAGAACACTCAAAGCTATAGCTGCATTACAAATAGTTTAAATTCCAAGAAGCAATTTATTTTCATTCAATATAAAAGTAGAGAAAATAAGACATTTTTTAGAGGGAACTTTGCAAGAAAAATAATTAAATTAAGTGAGATATTATAAAATGGAAGTATATGACCTTCTGATTTACTTGCTGAGGTTCACATCAGTAAAGGAGTGATGGAGGAAGGAAATGGTAAGTTATTTGGCAAATGATTTGAATAAATAATGCTATCAGTAAACAAAGAGTAAGGAGTGTGCAATTTAATCCTATTTTTAATAGTCACTGCTGTGGGAGAGTTTAATACAGTAATAATGAGAACTAACCCAAATTGGAAGACAGATTTTTTCCCCAAGCATATAAAATATTTGCATACAGAACTTTAATATTTATTTTGGAACAGCACTCAAATTAAAGGGTGCCTAAATTTTTTTTTCTACTTCCAAATTACTGCAACGATAATATTAAAATATTCAAAAATGGAAAATTATGATAAGCTGAAGAAACAAATAACTGAAAACTAATATCTTTAAGAAAAATATTAAAAAAAAAAAAAAAAAAAAAAAAAAGTGGTGGATTGGAAAAAAGAAAAGAATCATTTTAAAAATAGTTAATTTAAATAATTTTTTGCTGTATAAATAGATGGGAGGCAAGAGGAGGGTCAAGAAAAAGGGAGAGAATGCAAAGGTAAGAGAGGGAGAGAATGCAAAGGTAAGAGAGGGAGAGAATGCAAAATGCAAAGGTAAGAGAGGGAGAGGCAAGAAAAAGGGAGAGAATGCAAAGGTAAGAGAGGGAGAGGCAAGAAAAAGGGAGAGAATGCAAAGGTAAGAGTGGGAGGCAAGAAAAGGGGAGAGAATGCAAAGGAAAGAGGGAGGCAAGGGAAGAGGGCAAAGGTAAGAGAGGGAGAGGCAGGGAGAAATGGAGGAGAGGAGAAAGGGAAAATAATGAGGAGGGAGGGAAGGGAAAAAGGAGGAGGGAGAGAGGGGAAAGGAGGAGGGAGAGAGGGGAAAGGAGGAGGGAGAGAGGGGAAAGGAGGAGGAGGGAGAGAGGGAAAGGAGGAGAGAGAGAGGGGTGGGAAGAGGGAAGAGAGAGACACAGAGAGAGAGAGAGAGATATTTTTCTTTCCTTATGGTTCGTATACTAAATAGGCTTTAAAATTGGTTGGCCAACAGTTTAATAACAGAATCAACAATACAAAGTACTTAAATTGTTAGAAGAAAGCTTGTAATGTTAGTCACCCTTATGAAAGTTATAGACGATATACTTGAGATCTTCTATGAGAAATTTTTAAAAAATTACTGTTGAAATTATCATTTGGTAAATAAACTCATTACTCAATTATGCTATATATCCTGTCAATAATAGCTGTATTCTTGCCTAATTTACAAAGCTATTCTTATATATAACTAAATCAGCCATGATTGTTTATCTTTAAATATCCAGATATATATTTTCCATTTAAGTGTGCTGAAAGATTAACTATTTTCATCAAAAAATCATAGCTGAAAAAAAATAATAAATCAAAAAAAAAAAAAAAAAAAAAGTAATATACTTACAAGAGTTTGGTATTATCAAGCAATGTTCCTTTAGGGCCGAATCTGAGTTCTGAACAATTAGAGTAGATATTTTGATTTCTGGAAAAAATAAATAAATAGAAGGTTAAAACTAATAAAAAATCTGGCAAGCAAAATAAAGCATAAAATATTCCTTCGGCAAAATGGTTAAGGCAGGAAAAAATTCAGAATCTGTAGGGATGAAAATCTGATTATGTGCAGATGACTTAATGTTTAACTGCATAGAAAATGGAATCAGTGAAAAAGTCCAGCTGAAACACTTTGTTATTATATTTACATCCAGACTAATGTCATCATCTTTGTTGCTTCAGCTGCTGTGCTCTCTGGCCTTCTTCAGGTGTGTTAATCTGGGTAACCTCTAGAAAATTTCAAAATAAAAGCGTTATTTGATCTACAGGAGTAAATTGTTTTCATTCACTGTCCCAGACTTGTTCTTTTTGGTAGTGCTCAGTTATTGCCAATCCTATTTCCACCAAGCCTGTGTCTGTACTAACCAGCCTAGGTATTGAACTCAATTCCTATCCCACTAAATTCATGAATCCACTAGACTTTTGTCTCATTGACAATCCTGAATCTAAAACTTAGAGCCTTAAACCTAATAATTTCATTTGCTTCTTCTGCTGCTATAACACTTGACCTCCTTTGTGGTCACCTTTTTTCTTACTGCTACTAAATACTTGATTTGAAACTAAGCCATTGTTCCATCATAATTTCTCTTTCTTTATTAATGACTCCCAGATTTTACTTTTTTTTCCAGATATGCTAGGCCTGCTGCTCATTTTGCATTAATGCCCTTTGGAAAGGTAGGAATTCCCCCATTTGTGGGTAAAATAGCAAAACAGGTAGGGTTCTTTAAATTACTAATCTTTCATAACTTTGATGATAATTGAAAATTCAAGTTCAAATCATCTACTTACAACCATATCCACTGGGAAATTCTTTGAGAATAAATCTTAAGGACAAATCTCGAGCTGGTATCCCTTAAAGCAATCTGACACCATCATTGATTTTGTTTTAACAACTCTTTTGATGACCCTAATACAAAACACCATTGATCATTGCCTTCCTCTCAGACAACATTGGTGGCATGAAGAGGAAAGACTTAATGCACAGGCAACTGTCTGTCTTTTGCTCTAGCCTGTTCTTTTGAGAACAAAACTTTTCTACAAATCCACAGTCTCATTAGACTGACACATGCCTTGTTCTCTAAAAGTAGACATAGGTATTTACATAGATATCCCCATTTTTTGTAAGGGAGAGGTGTTTATGCCTCTTAATCCGTGTAGTCTTGACCCCCAACTGACAGGGTGGAAGTTTTGAAATAAAGTAGTGACTGAGGCTCTTAAATGAAAACAGGGTAATCATTTAAGTATTATTTATGCTATTTACATCATTTGGACTGTTGTCCTAATCTTTATAGCCATATTCTCAACGTTTCGGCCATTGTATGCTCCAACCTCCTTCAGGTGATATACGTTGGAATTTTGAACCAAACCATTTATTTAGTCCATGGGGGTAAATTTTTCTAGTTCCTCATGCCATGCGTTATTTTTTTTTTTTTTTTTTTTTTTTAGATATCTCAATATTAGTTAATTCTCTTTAGTAACTCAACTCTCCAAGTTTTTTTCCCTAAGGACACATGGCACAGTGGATAAAAGCATTGGTTGAGTAATAAAAGTGACTAGCCAAAGAATTGCGAGTTCAATACCTGGCTACAACAGAGAGAACAAAAACTTGGAGAGTTGAGTTATTAAAGGGAATTGAGATAACCAAAAATGGCATGGCATTAAAAGAGTTTGATTCAAAAACCAAAAATGGCATGGCATTAAAAGAGTTTGATTCAAAAACCAAAAATGGCATGGACTAAAAGAGTTTGATTCAAAAACCAAAAATGGCATGGACTAAAAGAGTTTGATTCAAAAACCAAAAATGGCATGGACTAAAAGAGTTTGATTTGAAATTACAACATATATCACCTGAAGAAGGTTGGCGCATACATTGGCTGAAACATTGCGAATATGGCAATAAAACTGAGGACAACAGTCCAAACAATGTAAATAGTTACAATATCTCATCTCAGAAATATAGACAGATATGTCGTTTATAGATTTTAAAGTGAAAACTGACCACTAGGAGGACTCTTACCTAGATTTGAATACAGAGTTGTTTTCTAAATCAGTATTTACTCAAACTATTAAGAATGTGATAATGAACTTTGTTGCACAGAGATTTTGTAGCTTTCAGTTCAACACAAATTTCAAAGGCAATGCTGGATGAAAGGTTTTGCACAAGGAAAAAAAATAAGGAAATACAAATAAATTTTACTATGAAAAATGCTTTGATTTCACCACATGAAAGAGCATTAGCAGCAACTCTAGTACAAGTACAGATGGGTTAAAATAGATGCAAAGCAGTTATTTTAAAAAGAATAATCATTCTTAAAATAGATAATGTCATCTGGTTCAGTAGGTCATGGAGGTATCTCTAATGATCAATCATTTGTTTTCCTTCACCTAGCTATCATTTATATTCAAGTTTTGAAATCAAAGACTCACCTCACTTTTAAGAATGATTAATAAGTTCCGCCACATACTTTTGAAATGAAGGTGACATGTTGATAAAAATGCCTGAAGCTTGTGACATTTTTTAGTAATAATTGTTATTGTACCATTTGAAGAAGAGTGATTGGAGAAAATTCTCATATAAAAATTATTTGTGTATTTATCTTAATCTGAAATTTGTGCTTTCAATGTGGGCTTTACTAATAGCAAAAATAAAATAAACATTCAAGTAGTTGGTTAATAATTCTACTTTAATATGTTATAACAATTTGCTTAGAGGCTACAAAAGGCAAGTTTTAGCTCAATATCAAGCTACAGCTATTTACAGAATTTATAATTTACCTGTATTGTTAACAATAAAAAAAAATGCAATATTTAATTTAAGTTATAATTTCCACTTGAATAACTGAGTTTCTTTTAACTTTACAATTAACTTGTCACATAAAAAAAATACTGCTTTCAAATAATCATTAAAATTAAAAATATTCCAAGAAAGCTAGCATAAAACAAGTAAAAACAATGTATTAACAATGTGGCTTTACTAATGAGATTATAGTAACAAGGGATGTTCACTTATTAGCATTGTTATCACAGCAATGAAATATCTAATTAGTAAGTAGTGGATATCAAGATGTATGACTGAAATACATAAAATCACATTATTTTTTTATAATATAGAAAAGATTATTTGCAAATAAATAAATAAATAAATAAATAAATAAATAATCGGAATGACTTTGTAATTAGCTAAACCTCAATTAGATTTGAAATTTAAAATTAGCTTTACTTGAATTCCTACTAATCCCTAATCAGCAAGAGTCTTGTTTTTAATGATATTTGGATAGACATGTATATAACTTAGAGAAATAGTTTTAGTAATAAAATGTGGTTATGTTAACAATGGAAGAAAAAAAAATGAAAAGATAATTTTTGCATAAAATTATGGTACTAATGAAATAATATTTTGTAAAAAAATTTGATAAAGAAATATGTAATAAAAATAATTATTTTACAAAATAAGAGTAATATAATTTCACCCACAACAATACTTCATGCAGTAATGCTTTCATTTTTCCCCTCTTTTGATACTGATATGATTTTTTCATTTTTTGAAATACACACAAATAGAAATTTATTATTATTGGAATGAGCACAAATACAAAATTCACACTATTATTATTAAATAGCAAATTGGACAAGAAACTGATTTTATTCTTCAAGTTAGAGAATTTTATTTTTATTTATTTAATAAATATTTATACTAAGATTAATATTATTTAATATCTGAATATTTGTTTTGTTTTCTCTGTAATATTTACAAAATACTTTTCTAACAGAAAGTAGTTGTTTATATAGGTATGTAAAAAAATTGAATATTTAGGTTTTCATTTATTGTAATATTCCCATGTGACTAATACTTGTCTGTATAGATTTTTTTTCATTTTATTAGCCTATTTAATAAGTGTTTATATAAAGATATATACTGTCAGTAATACAATTATTATTATCTCTACTATGAGGAGCATGAACATCGTAAAGCTTTTAGTCAGTTATAAACATTATGAAATTTTTATTTATTGATAACAGTTACAAATAATAATAAAAAGATATACACTAATTATATCATGTAAGTACTATTAAAATCATTGAATAATAAATATATTCCATAACAAAAATGCAATAAACTGTGGATATTGCATCTATTTGCCTCCACAAGATGGCAAAAATAATTTCTGTTTAAGTATAGTGGAGTAATGGATAGTGGCATGGATTGTAGAATCCAAAAACCGAGTTTGAATTTTGATAGAGTTTGTTCTTTCTCTTACATATAAATACCTTTGAGAAAGATATGAATCCATGTCTTCTCCCTCTAGATATGGGTAAATAGCAGGACTGTTTGGGTCCTATAGCCTTGGGTGACAACTGGTCTAGGAGAACAACAACTCTGAATTCAAAATTGTCAAGTGGTTGGTGACTAAAATGGCTCATCCTCCAGATCATGGTCTGGTAAGGAGGGTAAACAGAACCCCAGAAATACAAAAAAACAAGAGCTGTTAAAGGATGTTTGAACTCCTCAGAGTCAATGGCCATCTAATTCAACTATGATTTAAATAGCCTCACCAACCCACAATTGGCCAAGCATGGTGAGTATGGCTACACCCCTGAAGACATGATCAATAAAGGAGAGAGTTCCTCCAACAGGAGTGAGAAAAGACTTGGATAGCATATGCGTAGATAAAGGTAAAAGTTTTACTCTCCTACTGGCTTCTGTAGGGTATACGCCAGACCATTAGATTAGAACAATGAAGAGGTGCTGTTAATTGAGGGGGAGAAAAAAATAAGGTAATATCGTTTGTATATTGAAAATACTAGTTACAGCCAGTATATTTGTTCAGTCACACATCAGTTGTCATAAATTTTGCAATAAGTAAATTATTTATATGAAGAGCAATAAAACCTTCAAGAATTTTTAACTAAAAGAGGAGTCAAGTTTTTAAT